AAAAACCAGTGTTCGAACTAAAACGGTTATTGGCGCCCACGTTGCTGTACCTGCAACTACAATGCATTTGTCATAATCGCGCACTTTCAACGGGTGATTCTTGGTTGTAAAATCATAACACGGAACTCGCGTAGCATTGGGTGGATGCGCGTCTATACTGCAACAACAACAACAACAACAACAACAGTTTCGAACATTATTGGATAAACGTTTCATTCTTTGTACAATACATTATATTGAAAAAGAGCTCTACCAGCCGAGACGCTGAATTGTTTGAGTTACGGAAACATCGATTTACAAAATTGAACACGCCCATATTTTAGAAAAAATGCCCACTTTTGCGAAACAACTTCTACATTGTAACTCGATGTTACTGCAAACATGCAACGGTAAACAAAAACAAACAACCTGTTTTGCCAACGTTACTTTAGATTTTGGTGGTAAGTGAAATTCCTGCTGCCGACTGCCAGTGTCATTGGTATTAGAACATGCAAATATTCTATACCCGCGACGTATCGACAATCAATCAATCAATGCAATCAACATACCATTTATTCACTTACATTATAAGGACTCCCTTTGAACCAAACGGGTACGCGAGGCATCAACCTTTGGTGATTTTTTTTAAGAAGACAAACCCACCCCTTGAATCAAATCTACAAAAACATACCTTATTTCATAGTTGACACGAAATCACGTAGTTAATACTAGTACAATCGTCCAAAATCATGGTAAAAAGGGTCATTTGACCAATAAAAGAATGTGGTTCCTACTAGTGATCCCTGGTAAGAACGAAAAGTAAAAGCACAGGGGCTGTCACGTGGCACTCAAGAAGCCCATTCAAAGGATCGCGTCCAGACCGCGCTCACTCTGAAAAAAAACATGGTGATACTACGCGACTATGACGGGAAGGGGGTAGTAGAAACCAGAGTGTATACATGACAATGTTAAGGTAAATGTGTAAACTCACACCGTTTTTCTTATAACCGAACCTCAGATCGAACATGCCCGGCAAAGTGCCTGGATGACGTACGGCGATAGTTTTCATCATGAAAATGAAAACATTTGCACTCTTGTAAACATCACGCATAATATTATTTTACACTCGTTGTAACCGTCATCGTTGACTTAGCGAGTAGTAGTTTCGCTCCACTCAGGTGTTACTGGTAGTATAAAGGTCTGCACAGAGTACAGCAGTTATTTATTTGTATTCGTGTACATACGGTAGGTTTGAACAGGTCTACGGTTTGGCGTGTTATTTCCACTTCTCCGCTGTATGTTTTTGAACACATAGAAACTATTCACTTACGCAGGTCCGTAGTTGCACACCACCATATTATAGGCACCGCTATTGCTTGGACACTCAGCAACTCCACACCCTACTTCTTTAGAGCGTCCTGACACCACCTACATGTATTATAACGTGTATGATAGTCTCGTGTTGGAATGTTAACTCATTAGTTTTACTGAATCATAACGACGATCATGTCAAGTCACGCCGTTCATATTTTTGATATTTTTTTTTAGTCTGTTGCCAGTCAGTAAAAATGTAGCTTTTGGGTAATTTACTATAGTAGTATTTTAAATGACGAACAACTAAACCACAGATAGAGTTGTCACGTCTACACTCAATATTTTAACATTGCAGAATCGATTTGTCGAGACCGAGATATTCACCATGGATCTTACCTGTGTGTAATGTCCACATTCCTTAGTGCATGTTATATTATCAAAATTATAGAATTCTTTTTCGGCAAACCACTGATCGAGGGCCGTCATTGCACTGAAAACATAAACGAAACATGTGTGAGTTGCGCCCTCCGGCGATCGCTACAGAAAACGCAATTGAGTTTCGTCAGCTGTCAATATTTATTTTAAAGGATCGTGATTTAATGCCACTTCGTCGCTAATGCTACATTAAAATTAATATTGATTAATATTAAAATGTATATGAATTGTCTCTTACTTGAGGCCTGTGCCCTTTTTCATATTCTGGCCAATGATGGAATATGGTGGGTTTGATACTTCTGGTTGACCATGCTCCCAAACACATCTCTCGGCCCACGTCTGTGCCATATTGGCCAGCTCTTCGTGCCACATCTGATTAAAAATGCAGTAGAGGGGGAAATAGTTTCTCGAGAACCGATCAAGCAGACTTACTAAGCTGCATATTAACTCAATATTCCGTTCAAATTGCGCCCCTAACACCGGAGCGCTTTTATGACGTAAACTGAATGGGTAAAACGAAGGCCATCGATGTCGTTTTGATCCGTAGTTTACAATCAATAAAGAATTATGCTGAGTGACGAATGACTGTACAACAAAACATGGTGGTTGATTTGAAAGACATTGCTTTCACTCATATACGTCAATTTGACGTCATAGAAGCGCTACTCCACTAGAGGGCGCAACCACAGATAACAATTGTCTGTTATCTGTGGCGGGAAGTAATATGTTACTCGTAACTCCATATTGAATTTGGAAAGGATTGTGGGATAGAGGGGAGAGGGACTCGCATCTTATCCATAGAATCCTATGTTAAAAACAGCTTTTAGCTCTCCTGTTTTCAAGCAACGTGTTAAAAATTATGGTTATATTGTTGGACTTCCCAGTAATTTCACTGAGAAGATTGTTTTAAAGATTTTTTAGATTTTTTACAGTTTTTGGCAGCAAGCTATCTAACTGAAAACATCGATCTATCTTGCCTTGTTCAGATACAGAAAGCTGCCTAGTACTATGCAAATCAGATACGGACAAATGCCTAGTAATATGCAAATCAGATACAGACAATTGCCCAGTACTATGCAAATCAGATACAGACAATACCTAGTACTATGTAAATCAGATACAGGCAAATGCCCATTACTATGCAAATCAGATACAGGCAAATGCCTAGTACTATGCAAATCAGATACAGGCAAATGCCTAGTACTATGCAAATCAGATACAGACAAATGCCTAGTACTATGCAAATCACATACAGGCAAATGCCTAGTACTATGCAAATCAGATACAGACAAATGCCTAGTACTGTGCAAATCAGATACAGAAAGCTACCTGGTACTACGCAAATCAGAAACGCAATACATAAAATTTGATTGCGTTTAAACCAGATTTCAACCCATAACTACAACAATAAAATTCATACTATTGTGATAGGTATTTTTGATGGTTAAAAACCTTTCACTTAGGTAAGCGGGATTCGGTCGTTTCCACGCTAGGCTGTCAAAAGACACACACAAGCTTCGTTCATGTTCCCAAACGATTCTCTCCCAAGTCCCTGGTTTTCACCCGAGACAGCATTAAATCACTCTTTATTTCTTGTCACTCCTTAACCAATTACAATCAGTATAAGAGACTCCAAGGCCTTGCCTTCCAACAAACAACCAATCACATGAAAGTTTTACACATCATAATCAATTAATTACTCGTCAAACTATCTAGTAAAACACTACTATATATTGTCAACACTAACTAATATTGATGGGGTAATAGTCTCGCACTAACATTCCACAAAGATACCGCCTTAGTTAGAATCGCAAACAAAATTGGTTTAGGATTACAGCTACTGTATTGTATCTTAAAAACTGCAGAGTCATAAGATGTTTTTGGTTGATTTCGACCAGCTCGCCATCTGGTCTTGTCATTAACCTTTATCAGTATATGTTATGGCAACCACTGTCAAACTGACTGAAATATAAATCATGACACTATAAAAGACAAAATAATTCTGACATTTTAACAGCTAAGTGTTATGTCTATACTATGTAGGGCAGACCATGTCGTGTCATACCATTAACTATATAGAGACAACAATATTAACGACGTATGGGTGCGATAGCAATTTATTATTATAAGTTAAAAAAAGACAGGTTTAAGAATAATTGAGCTGACACCTTTGATGCGTGTTCAGTTTGGGGATTCAAGTTATTGAGAAAGTGTTATTTTTCCAAAGTTCCAGTCTAAGACAGTACCATTGTTTATTTTCGACCCTGACCACTTGTGTAGCTGTATCAGGCTAAAATGCCGCCCACAGTAACTTAGGAACACGAGCGAATCCGATTAATGTCATCCACAGAAGTGCATGGTGAGCTTGGGCGATTCCGATTAATTCTGCCCTGCCATCAGTCAGTTCACAACACGAGCGAATCCGGTTATGAACTGTCTATAGTAAGTTTGGCACACAAGCGAATTCGATTAAATTAAGAAAACGAGCGAATCCGATCATTACCATTCTCAGACAGTTCGGCACAGGAGCGATTACGGAATCTGATTATTGCTGCGCTGATGCTGCCAACAGTAACTTCGGAACACGAACGAGCCCAACTGATTTCGCCCACAATAAGTTCGGAATACGAGCGAATCCGATTAGTGTCGCCCAGTGATTTCGGAACACGAGCGAATCCGGCGCATGTTCATGCCTTCGAATACATCGCATAATCGTCTAAGTACAAATAAAGTAACCTCTAAGAGTGCAACTTAAGGATACGAGTCATCACTAAAAGTTCTGTTATATGGTGTCTATATGCCATAACACGTAGATATCGACAATAGACTTTATAATATAACCGGGATCTTTGTTATCTCTAAAATATATCCAAAATTAACGTGGACAAATCAACAGCCGTTTTTTTTTCAGTCAAGGCAGTTTTGCTAATTTTATTTGAACGGCTGAATGGTTTAATTGTACGTGATCAGCTGTCTCTCATAAATATATTCTGTAAACTGAGCACTACACGTTGAAATAAGTGTACATAGCAATGTCCGAGTATTGACAATTGTTGGGTTTTAAAGAGAGGAAAAATAATTGCGCGATGAGAAATGACACACATCCACCAATGGTATAATTATCTAAACAATTGAAATATAGATAATCACAACATTACAGTCTTATGTAATTAAATAGTCTATTAGATGTTTGGAGAATCTATGGGTTTAAAACTAATTTCTTGTTCAATAAATTGTTTATTTTTTTTACTGTTCGTTGTTTTTTAATGTACAACTGAAGACACGGATAAGACATGCAATACACTTACCATGGTCTGCATGTTGGAGGCCGGTGGCTCAACCTGCCTTCTCAACTCATTGTGGCGATCAACGATCATCTGTATCTCATCGTCAGAGAATGGATGCCTTGACAGAATAGTTTGTCTTCGATCGCGAAGTATCGTCTTTGAATCGGAATCCATTCCGGCTACACACAGCTGGAATAGTAGCGAAACTGACGCAATGAATATGAAAATCCGTGGTCCGGCCATCGTCTTGGACACCGATGTTCTCGGATAGTTTTAAAACCTGTGAATGAAGTAGAAGTTATGTCTTGAAGGCGTTTAGTGATGTGGAAAACTGTGCGGTATTCATGTCTGCAGCTGGTTTATATATATAAATATACCATGTGTCGTAGAAATGATGGATGGTGCCTGACATCTCGACGTCGTAAATAAATAAATAACTACGTTCACACGTAGTCGTTAGATTAGACCCAAACACGACCATAATGCATAATGAATAATATGTCCAAAACAAAATTTGTTTATTACATTGGTCGTTGTTACTGTGAACGAATAATCAACCCAAACAAGCGATAGAGCTCACTGCCATTTGCAAACACAGCATCAATAGTTTGATAGTTCAAATGTAAGTTTACAATGGTGTAACTGATATAGTAATAATATAATACGACATTTTCACATATGGGAAACTTGATACCATAATCACCCGGGTGTCATGTGATTTACTAACAGGAATGACAATCAGAGAGAGTTGTTGAGTGACACGTCTGGAATGGTTTGCATTTTTAGACAGATTAATTTGGGGCGTTTCCTACCAAAGACTTCTCATTTCATTGTTTAAGACTTAGATGAATGTACGTCTCCAATTTGATCAGATGTCATACAGGCTCCATTTTTTTATAATTTTTTTTATTTATGTATTTTTTATTGCTATTTTTGTTTATTTAGAATATAGTTTGGTTTTACTTCATATATCGTATCTCGGTCGCCGTAACTACATCCGACTCAATGAAATTGAAAGTTTCGAGCAAATCACGCGTAAGAGTCAGCCAATCAGAGCACGGGTTACAAGTCCTCACAAAGTAACAAGAAGAGAAACAACAAACAACCTGAGGCACTCACCGATAACTCATCTAGCGGCGATGATCGTGTACCAACTACAACAAGTACTTTCATTCGTTGTCTAATCTAACATGCAAGTAATTTTCGTTGAATATTTTCCAACCGGTATTTTTTGTGTGTGTAGGCTTAGGTTGAACGAGATACTCACCAAAAGCAGACACACGATTGCGGTTTCAGTTTCGTTAAAGATGTTTTGCTCGTGGGTATCACATTCTCATTTGTTATTTGATAAATAATACTAGGTATCTCCTTGTTCTTCTAAAACTCAACTAATACAAAAAGTTTATGAAATTGTTTATTTTTGATGGTCTAAACTCTTGTTAATTGAATAAATATTTATTCCCTGTGATAAAAGATGCGTTTCTGCATTAATAACATCTTCCATCGTCCGAATCGCACAGTTTCGCTAAAGCTGGTCATTCATAACCGGCCAACGAACCTGTGCGTGGTCGTGTTAGGAAAAGCTGTATTTCACTGTAGCTAAATTGAGTCATTTGATTGGGCGCGCCAAAGAGCTGGCGCCAGCAATCAGAGTTGCTGTATCATAAATGTGAAGAACGGAGAGCCCATCACAGATTAAAAAAATAGTGGCGTGTAGGCTTCATGCTGATTCACCGAGAGTCAAGAACAGAAAGTCTATATTTGTTGACACGTTTCGAAAATTTATTATTCCAACGTTGAAAATTGTTTGTGGGAATGTCTAAATATTTGTGCAAACTGTGTTTTAGTAAACTGACGAAACTGATAACATATCGCCTTGCCAGATTCGGTCTTCATTGCAACATAGTCTAAGGACTGTGTTTTTGAACAAACACGTCTTTCCCTCAGATACAGCGCTTTCTTTTGATGATCAGTAAGTTCGTTCAGAGAAAAATTTGTTTATTTGATTCCGCCATTTTAATATCACAAAGTAAGGCCAAAACAATTGTTTTGTTGCTATCAGTTTTTTTTAATTGGCCCAAATATTAAAAAACAATTTAAACAGTAAAAAAGTTTTTCCTCTAAAAATTAACGATCCCGGACCGTTGTTTGATCCCCAGGGTCCCCAGGGGGAGATAAGTGGTGACTTTAAACCTCGGGTTGATTTGTATTTCTCTGAAAAAAAAATCCGACCGACCGACCAAATTTTTCAATTTTCCGACTTGAGGGCAACATGAGTTTTTTGGTTTTTTTTTGGCATAATGCGCAGTTTCTTTCGTGAGTTCTGATTGGGTGATGCAAATGAGCCGAAATGAATCTTATAATCGTTTGAGGGCGTGCGACATACAGTAAATTGTAGTGAAATCTGCCAAGGGTTAAATGTTGAGGCTTCGACCGAATAAATAGTCCTTGGCTGGCGAAGATGAACATCTTCATGTGTTCTCAACAGTTTAAATAGATTGTTCTGCATGTGTGCATGTCTTTGCCATGAAATGCAAGATTAAAATACCAGTCCAATAAATGTAATGAATTGTAGACGATCAAAAATCACGATCCCAACTCCTGATACTGAACTGCAGAATTTCTCAGGTTCCAAGCTGTATACTGTCAATGTATTCATTTGATGCAAGTTTTATATATGTATTTTAACATTTAGAAGTATTAATATTATATTGCACAATGACAGAGCGACATAAGAATCATTACTCTACCTGGTGATTGCAAGTGACTATAATGAATTCATGTTCTCCAATTTGCAATCAGAACTAGACATAATATCAGTTGCTGTCAGTACAAGAACCAATTTCTGTGTAAGTGGCATAGTTCTTCAGAATGTAAGAAGTATTCTCTTCGCACTGTCTTGTGTCTGTTGTTTATCTTGTCACCCAATCCTAGAAAGTATTACATAATTCTTTACAATTAATTAATGCCAGTAAAAGAAGTGACTAAATTAAGCTATGTAAAAGACAAAGAAGAAAAGAAAATCTGCATCAACAGGTGTTTTGAATGCTGCATTGTTGTTACCATTCAGTGCATTCTTGTATTAAATAAATCCATTTCATTGCATTTGAAATCAATAATCACTACCTTTAGTTTTCCCAAAAGATTATCGCGAAATGTACATAAATGAAGTGGATGATTGGAATTCAAGAGTAATTTGATGACATAATCATACATTCAAATAATGTTGTAAAGTAATTGTGTTTGCATGACTTAGAAGCATCTTAGAATGTGTTGTGTTCGTTGTATCAGAAACTAACATTTCAAGTCGAGGGAACAGCTTACCTGGTCTTACAAAATGAACTCAGAGGCTGACCAAATCCAGTTGGTAAGATAGCAAGAACGTTTATACGATTATCGTTTATACACCTAAAATAAATACTGGTATACGAAGTGCATAACTGCATAACGAATACAATAAATTGAATACATAAACATTTTTACAATCAAATTCATTGATCAATCATTCATTTGTTATTGTACTTCATAACGTACAAATTTCGAAATCTTTATTTTTATTAACATTTTCAGAAGTAATTACCGAATAAATAAAAAAAATCGTTATTAATTTCCACAAATAACAATAGCAAAATATGAAAATAAAAAAATATAAAAATAAAAAAAATACATAGGATTTTAATCAGATTGGTGCGTTTCTTAGTAGCAGATCGATTTTGTCACTTATGACCGTTCAGTGAAAATCAATTACGACTTTCACTGTCCAAGTTTGAAATAATCACCGAAATACGATTTTGTATTTATTATGTTGTTGAAATACAGCTTTAAAACGTCGGCGAAACCTGAAAAACTCGCCTCAACATTCCTGTGAGACATAAACAAAACCCATAACCATCGAACATTTCGCTATTAAACCATAATAGAAATGGCAAGAAAATGGCAAATGGAGCATGTGTTTCTTTTGGTTTACATATGTGTAAAAGTTTTTTCGACCTTGCTTGCTTTTATTATAGCTTACTTCCATATACCCACCATTTTGGGTCAACCATAAATGCCAAGAAGATTGAACACATAACAAGACGGAGTGACGTAAGCAAGGTATTCATCATACTTTAATTTTAATGAGCGTTAAATATTTACAAATAATAATCACATATTAAGTATAGTTAATCTCATGAGTTGAAGTGCGTTTACAAATGTAAATACCATAGTTTTTTGTCAGAATCTCGTAAGCACGCCCGGCCGGCTTCGACCGCACGACAACGAGATGCGAAATTCAGCAATCAGTTGCATTGCCAGCGCTGGACGTATGTTTAACCAACGGCCAGAATAATGGATCTTATGACCAAGACTGTCCCAGTGTACCTTGCTATATATCAGCAGTGTGATGCACGTCCGTCGACTATTATTAATAAAGAAACATCTGTTCCGAAGAGAGTGCTTCAAGTCTCTAACACAAAAGACCCGAGAACAATGAAGATGGAATTACATATCTGCATGATTGTTTTAGAGCAGCCATAAAACCAAACCCCAGTTGACGACAATTAGAAATCGTGCACCTTATTCAACACTTGAACGTGGATATCACGTTACCCAAAATAGGTTTCCGGGATAAGGGTTCATTTTTCGATGTTTTTTACTCTCGAGAATAATTCGCTAGAGGGCGAGGTGTACCAAATACACACTGATCTACGGGTGCGGCCAAGGATCCAAGCCTCGAGGACACGGCTAATTGTAATAATAATCATCTTTATTGTTATCGTATCCTCTATGGGACTTTGACTGAAGAATACAATAAAGGTATAGCAATGAAAAAAAAAATTAAATGAGATTAAAAGAGTATAAAACAAAGGTATTAATAAAATATAATAAATGAAAGTAAATGTTTTTATTCATTTTGAGGCAGCTGGTAGTACTTTTTTCAGGTTGTTCTCCCTGATTTTAAAACAATCATCTATGTACTTAGCAATTTGAGGAGCAAATTTTTTACTACCATTGTTTAGTATTGCAACTATTTTTTCTTTGTCAGGAAGTTTTGGAGGTAGCATCAAATTTTTTAGAAGCTCATTTCTTTCTTTTTTATAGAGACCGCATTTAAGAAGGAAGTGCTCTTCATTTTCTATTTCGTTTA